CTTAATAATTAGAAGTACCATAATAAAATTGCGATATTGTAAGTTTTAATATTCAAAATATATTATTTACAAATTTGTATTTTTTTTTTTATGTTTATAAATAATAATTATAAAATAACTAATAAACAAATAAACTTTATAAATAAATATATAAATATTAAATATTATTATATATACTTTTATATAAAAATATATTTATCTTTATATATATATTTATGTATATATTTATATTTATTTTATAATTAGATTTTTGATGGAATTTTAGAAATACAATTTGATCCTTTATTCAATAGTCATATGTATATTCTTACTGAAAAATAAGAAGTTTTAGCTTTCGAAATGAAAACATAAGAAAATAAATGCAATTTTAAATAAAAAATACATTAAAATATAAATTAATAAACTCAAGATTTATTTTTAGTACCTATAAAGAATAATTTAATAGTAATAGATAAAATAAACCATATATTTAAAGTTTATAATACAACAGACATTAATTTTGATAGCGAAAATATATAAAACTCAGCTTTTGATGCTGAAATTTATAAACCGAAGTATAAAAATTCAACCATGATTTATAGATTTTAAAAAGGTAATAGTGCATCAACATATTTATTAATAGCCGAATAATATTAAAATATAACAGACGTAGTATTATATGAAATTTTTTAACCGTAGAAACAAGAAATTGATTTTATTAATAATGTAAGAGGACCAATGTAATTATTATATATTATTTATTTATATTTTTTTTTTTTTTTTGAATTAAAATTAATAATAAAAAAGACTAATTTGTGCTGCTTTATGTTTTATTACTTATCAATATTGCCAAAAATAAAAAACTGAGAAATAAAGACCTAGTTCTTTTGAAGATTTCAATTTAAGAAATGAATATGCAAATTAAAAAAAAAATCTTAATGATTCAGAAAAATAAAAGCTTAATAAATATTAAGAAACATTAAATAGTTTGGCTAATAAATCTAAATAATTAAGTTGTGGACTAAATTTTTAAAAAAATAAAGTGGCTAAAGAATAAAATTATAATAGTAAAATGCTTGATATTGATGATGTTGATAGTAGAAATCATATTTTTTGAGATTATTTTTGTTAAATTTTAAACATTTATATATATATATATATATTCAAAAGTATTTAAACGAATAATATTCACTACATGTTTTCGTGTTAAAAATTATATTATTTAATATTAAAGAGGATAAAAATATTTTTGGATTTTTATTTACTTTTTTTTTATTAAAAATAAAATATTAAATATTTTATTTTTTATATTTTACTAAATAATGCTATCATTAATGATGAATTTAAAGATTTTATAAAATTTTATAAAAATATCTTATTTTTATTTTTTTCAAAGTTTGTTTCTTTTAAAAATAAATATATTAATGAATCTATTACATAATAAAATTAAAATGGTAAAATATAATTATTTATTATTCCCTGTTTTAATATAATTTTATTTGATTTTGATTTATATTCATATAAATAAACATAATAGGCCCATTTTTCGTATTTTTATTTATACACCTTATAATTTTTATTTATATAGTAATATTTTATTTTTTACATAGTTTTAAACTATTGTTTTTCTTAAATATATTAAAGTTGTCGAAAATACTATGCCTTTAAATAAACTGTTTTAAATATATTTTAAAAACTCATCATCGAATTTTTTATCTGCAAATTAAAAATTATCAAGTTGTTAATTTTTATTTTAAATTAATTAAGAATACTTCATTTTTAATAATGTATATATTAATTATATTGTTTTTTTTTTTTTAATTAAATATAAATAATATATAATTATATATTTTTTTAAATTTAATATATATTTTTTATAATTATATATAATAAAATTATATATATATTTTTATAGAAAATCATTAAATTTTATATTTTATAATAAAAATAAAAAAATATAACATTGTTATTTATTTTTTACATTTTTGAATAAAAATAACTAATTTATATAAAAAAAATTAGCAAAAAATTTTAAATATAAATTAAATTTTTTGTTTTTTTATATATGAAATGTATGTAAAAAATAAATATTTTTCATTAATAATTAACCTTATAATTATAATAAATATTTATTAATTTTATTTCTAAATAGAAAACTATTTTTTTAATTCATTTAAATACTAAACTTCATCATTTTTAATAAAAATAAATTTATATAACGTATATAAATATACCCATTTGTATATTTTTTATCAAAAGTTAAACTTAAAATAATTAATTGGAAACTAAGATTTTTACAAATTTTCATAATCTTATTCAAATTATTCCTCTTTAAAATATGTAACACTATTTTTATTAATTTACAATGATTTAGAGTAAACTTTTTATTTAATTTCCTAATTCAAGAGCTCTTTTATTTATTTATTACCAGTATTTTTTTATATAATTAATTCTTCAAAAAAAAAAAACTATTTAATATTTTTTGTATTAAATCCAATTAATAAATCTTTTGTGAAATAATTTTTCACATACCAATGATCCATTTCTATAGAATTAAAAGGCCCTTATATTTTTTGATTCTCATCTTAATAATACCATTATCTTTATAATAAATCTATACTATTCATTGAAAAAGAAAAAGGTAAGCTTAATTTTTATTATTATTATTTTTATTTTTATTTTTTTTAAGCTTTTTTGATTTTAGGCCTGTAAAAAATATCTTATTATTATTATGGGTTTTATTTTATTATTTTGTTTTAAATATAAACTGGCTTTTAATTTTTTTTTGTAAATATATCCTAATATTAGTTAAAAATATTAGGAATTTATAAATTTCCGAAAAATTCTTAAAGAGGAATTTCCCTATACTTATCAATCAATTATTTTTTTTTCATTAAAAAAATAAAAAATAAAAAAATATATATAATTTTTTTTTAAAAAAAATAAAAAATTATTAATATATTAATATATATTTAAAAAAAATTCTAAAAAATTAAATATATTAAAAAAACAAAATAAATAAATAAATAACTTAAATAAAAAAAAAATTATTAGAAAAATAAATAAATATATAAAATGCAAAAACAACCCAGTATCAATGACGAAGAAATAACTAAAGAAAACCTCATGTACATAATAAAACAATTCCAATAAAAAGGCTTCGAATCATTATCTCTCGAAAATCTTGCCCTTACAATAATCCATAAGGACTTTCCTCGTTTATTTTAATAATAAACAGGTTTAGATTGGCGTTAAAAGTTTCAAATAAAGGCCTCAGAGCGTTTAAATTATGCAAAATTTGACATTTAATGGCTTACTCGTAAACCTACTTAAAATGAATATTTTAAGCCAATATTTTCTAATATAGAGAGGAATGATTTGGACAAAATTAAGCATTTTTTAAATTAAATTCCTAAAGATTTTGATATTTTAAAAATAACCGATTTTTCATAAAAATCGCCTTTGCATTTTTCCGCTTAAAATTCTCAAAATACCACAATTTTCGAGTTTTTTATTTTCAAAGGATTCAATGTAAATGCAAGAGATAGAACATTAAAAACTCCTTTACATTACGCATGCTTATATGGAAATCTATAATTTTGTAAACTCTTAATTTAAAATGGAGCAGAAATAGATAGTAAGGATTCTTAAAGGAAAAAATCCACTGCATTTTGCCGCAAGTGGTACATCAATAGAAGTAGTTAAATATATATTGAACATAAATAGCTCTTTGGTACATTTTGGTGATAATAATGGTCTTTATCCTTTACATTATAGCGTTTTTAATACTAGTTAGGCATAAATAGAGATTATAAGATTAATTGTTTTAATTGGAAAGGCAGATATTAATGGCATTGATGAAAATGGAAAAACAGCTTTACATCATGCGGCTAAAGAAGGGAAAGGGAAAATTATTCCAATATTAATTGAATTGGGAAGTGACATTACTTTAAAGGAAAAAACGGGAAAAAAAACAGCTTTAGAACTTGCTTGTAATGATCGAATTAGAGAAATGATAATTATATATACAGGTGAATAAAAAACAAAGGGATAAAAACATAATATAGAAAATAATTCTTTTTTATAAATTTAATAATGTAAAATTTAATTCTAATAATAAGAAGAATAAGAAAAAATATAAATTAAAATCCATAAAAATAATGAAAATATAAACTGTAATATTTAAGAACATTTAAGATAACGTTTTTATTTTTTTATGAAAAATATATAATAAGAAGGCATTAAAAGCTGGCATCATTTAAAAAAACCCTATATTTATACAGCATCATGGTTCGAAGGTATTAAATCATGTGAAGAACTATATGATGTTATTAAAAAAATATCACCATGTGAAGCTACAATTAGAGTTTTTAATATTTTATGTCCTTATGAGGATTAAATGCCTATTTCAGATGGAAAAGAAAACATTATAGATAATTTTTATGGATATTAATGGAGTGAAAAATAAGATGAGGAGATAAAGAGTTTTTTAAATAATGAAAATAATGAAGTATTCAATAATAAAATAAAAACTTTGAAAGAAATACTTTAATTAAGGGAAAATGAGATAGTCTAATTGGAAGAAAAAAATTAAATTTTAAATGAATAAATTGTATTTATGGAAAATTAAATATAAGAAAATGAAAAAGGATATACTTAAATGTAAGAAGAAATGAAAAAATAATAAGTTTAAAAAGACGAAAAAATTAAAAAATTAAACGAAAATATAAACTAAAAAACTAAACAAAATTAAATTCTAGAAAAGCAAATAAAAGACTTATAAAACGATATTTTTTATATATAAAATAAATAAACTTCAGAAGAAATTCGTACACAAAATCTTTAAGAACAAATTTAAAAACTATAATAAGAAAATGAAAATCTAAATAAAAAATTAAGCTAAAAAAATAATAATACTGAATAATTTTCATAAGAATCAATTAAAAATGACGATGAGAGTGTAAAAATTACATATTAAATACATATATATATGTATATTTATATAGATAATTTATTTATTTTAAAAATTAAAAAATAATCCACCTGGTTTAATATAAAGGATGTAAAAAGCAGATTTAGATAAAGATGGTTAATTAAATTAAACTGAATTTTTACTTTTTTTAGAAGCTCTTAGAATACCAAATAGTTATGGAAATATTTTGGCTAAAATTGCAGGATTTTATTAAGGTAGAAAATTTATATAACCAAATGAATTCAAGAATTTACTCGAAGAAAGGCCTTTAATAAAATCTATTTGGGAAAAAAAGCTTTTCACCTAAATAAAAAAGCAATGCTCTTAGAAAAATTTGGAACCAAAACAAGCTTTTGAGAAAATGGACTGTGATAATGACGGAAATATAAGCCCTTAAGAGTTTAAAAACGGTCTAGAGGGTTTAAAAATATTTATAAACTAAAAGGATTTCGTTAATTTTTATAGTATTATTGACAAAAATAGTAATAATAATGTTACTATAGATGAAATAGAGGAATTTTTTTCTTAAAAAGAAGTGGAAACTAAAAAAATCGATCTTAATTTGTCTTTCGAAGATCGATTCGAGAAAGATGAATTCGAAGAAATTTAATTAAACTTAAATCCAAGCGAAAAATTCACTTCTTCTTAAACAGAACCTAATTAAAATAACCAAATCAAATTTTCAAGTGATCTTACATTTGTAAACGGTGATCTTAAAATTTAAATTCCTTTTATTTAAAATATATTCGAAAATGAAAATTAATAACATAATTTTAAAGAAATTTACATCAGATTTATTTTAAGAGGTTCTGATAAACCTGATTTTTGTAAAAATATAGTCCTTTTTGAGCCTAAATAGGTTAATATTTTTGCCAAAATACCTCTAAGATAAGTCCTTAAAGAGAATATAAACGATAATTTGCATATCTAAATTTTTTCCTAATAAAAATTTGTAGAAGAATATTTTCTGGGAGAAACTAAAATTTGTTGGAAATATATTTTTGAATATCCTTTATAATGGACTATTAATAATTTATTTAATTTAGATAATATCTATTTTATTAAATAGAATACTAAAAAAGTATTTATTTTGTTTATATTAATTTTTATTTAAATTATATATTAATAATCAAGGTTTCAGGATAAATTGGTGTCTAAATTAAATGGATACCTGCTAATTCTAAAGAATTCACAGGAGGATAAATAATCGAAAAAGATTTATTTAAATAAGAAAAAACAACATTTACTCATTCAATAGTAGAAAAAGGTAAATTAACAAAAAAAATTTAAAAAAAAATAAAAATAGGGATTCTCGAATTTCATATAATAAGTGCCTTCTTATAGTAAAAACAAGAAAAATTAAAATGCCAAATAACCCTTCCTTTATCCAAGCCTGAATCATTTGATGCAAAATATGATGCTTAAGGAAATCCATTCTGGAGTTAAAAATGCACTAAAGAATTATAAGCAATGACTCTAAAGCAAATAGACTCACTTTCTCTTCTTTTATATTACGAAAAAGGTGCATTAATTAAAGAGAAATACCCTATAGGCAACCTATATATAGATTGGTAAGAATGTTTAATATACCCAGGTGAATATCTCACAAAGAAATCTTATTTATTCAAGCAAAACTCTTAAATAGAAAAGCCTTCTAAAGTATACATCCAATTGCGCTGGATTCCAGAGTCCTTATTTTAAAAGCTACTAGGATATAAATTAGGCTCGACCCTAAAGGATAAAAAAAAGGAAATAATAAACCGTTAAGAAGACCTTCTCGAAGGTATACTAAAAATAATGTTAGTTCGTGCAAAAGATCTCTAAGGAAACGTTTCTAAAGACTCATCTGATCCTTATGTCAAGTTTTTTTTCGAAAACTATGACTAAGAAATTACTATTAGGTCGAAAACTAAAAAATATACCATAAACCCAGTCTGGACATAAATACTATAATTAAACATCTCCTACTATAAAGAAGGTACTATTCCTCCTCTAAAACTAGAAATATGGGACCAAAATGCTCTAAAAGATGATTCTTTAGGTACTTCTATAATTGATATTACTCCTTCTATTTAAAATCCTTGCACTTGGGCTGTTGACAACTATTTTGATGTGGAAGATCCTGTACTTAAAAACAGAGAAAATAAGCCTTAAATATACATATAGACTTATTTCGTTCCTAAAGGGGTAACTGACCCTAATATAAAACCGAAAGATAAGGACAATTTATTACAAATAAGGGACGAAAATATAATATAGGGAAGCCTAAAAATAAGAATAATACACGCAAGAGAACTTCCTGGTATAAATAGAAATAATACATCAGATCCTTACGTATAAATGACCTTACCTGGTGGTTAAAAAGAAGTAAAAACAAGCACAATTTCCAATACTGTCAATCCTTAATGGAATGAAACTTTTTTGGAAAAAATTCTCATTTCAAAAGATCGAATGGCTCCTCTTAAAATAATCGTTAAAAATCATGATTATTTATCCCAAGACGATCTCTTGGGAATCGCAGATGTTGATTGGTCTAAATGTGTTGAAGAACCAGGGTAATGGGCTGTGAATAATGTTTTCGAATTACAAGGAGGTTCTAAAGAAGTTAGAAGTAAATCAAAATAGTTAGGTTTTTTATATGTTTAAATTAAGTTTTTAGAAGAATATATGATTGATGATTAAACTATTCCGCCTTTAATAGAAAATTTGGCATAAATGATAAGTGAAAAACAAGGATTATATAAAGTAAAATTTATTAATTTTTAATATATTTATTATTAAATAAGGGTACACTTCGTATTTTTCTTGTACATGGTAAGAATCTTGTAAATTCTGATGGAAAAAACGAATTAAATGATTCTTTTGTAGTTTTTAAAGTCCCAGGTGGAAAAGAAGTTAAATCTAATATAATTAAAAGTTTAAATCCTGTATGGAAATAAATTTATAACATAGATATTTTTATGCCTAAAAACACTATATAGCCTATGAGAGTAGAAGTTTTAGATAATGATTTATTCGGTAAAGACTTAGTGGGTTATTGCAATATAGATTTAAACGAATTATTAAATAAACCAGGGGTTTGGGCAATTAATTAATCTTTCAATTTAGATGCAGATTAAAATATGCGAATTAAATATAAAACTGATTATTTCGGAGAAATTTATATGTAAATAATGTTTGTTACAACTGGGCTTTTTAATGAAGATAAACCTCTACCTTTAAATGAAGATTTAGATTAAAAAAATAGAGAAGAAAAAGAAAAAAATAAATTAGTTGGAGTTTTTGAAATTAATGTATATTTATAATTTTTTTTGTAAAAAAATATATATTTATTAAATAAAAGGTTGTGATGGCTTAAAATTTAAAGGCAAAAGACATAATATCTAAGTCTTCAGATACTTATGCAGAAATAATATTTCCTGATAAGAATAAAGTATAAACTAAAGCAATATAAAAGTCGTTAAATCCATTATGGAATTAAACTTTTAGACATAGAATAAATATTATAAAAGAAGTAAATAAAAATATATATATATATTATATATTAGAAAAATAAAAATAATTTATAAAGTAATACTAACCGTTAAAAATTAGAATATTAAATGAAAATACAATGGCAATAGATGATATATTAAGTTATTTAGAATTAGATTGGTTAGATTGTTTTAAAAACTCAAGTATTTAAATATATATATATATATATATATATATAAAAAAAAATAAAAAATATACTTATATATTTATAATATTTCTATAATATATATATATATAAAAATTGAAATATATTTATATATATTTTTTATATATTTTTATATTTACAATATACAGAAACATATATAATTTTTTTTTAAAAAATAGCACTTTGGCGAATAAATGATATATATTAATTATAAGGCGAAAAAAAAATGGGAGAAGATCTCGGAAAAATATATATTTAATGTAAATTTTTGAATGATTCTGATTTAGAATCTCCTTAAGCAAATTATATTTGTAAAACTCCTGAACCTTTGATTCCTGAATACGGTAGAGTTTTAGGAAACATAAGTGTAAATATAATAAGTGGTGCTAATTTAAAAAATACTGACTTAATAGGAAAATCTGATCCTTATGTAAAAGCTTATATAGAAAAAGATCCATCAAATTTTTTAAAAACAATAGCAATAAAAGACGATTTAAATCCAGTATGGAATTTTAATGGAAATATTTTTTTAAATTTACTTAGATGTTAAGTTAAAAATGAGTATGTAATTTTTGATGTTTATGACGAGGATAATGTAACTGATGAACTTATAGGATAATGTAAAGTACATATTGTAGATTTATTAGAAAATCCAGATAAAGATATTTAATAAGATATTATTATTCAAGACATTAAAAAACCGTAAACTAACTACGGAACACTTCGTATTCTTTTAAAATTTACTAAAAGCACTTTTTGTGAAGATTTAGGAGGTATAAAAGAAATATTTTTCATATTCATATATATACATATATAAAGGATTAAGAATTCCTGATACAATAATTAACGGCCATTTATTTGTAAAAATTGTTAACGGAAGATAATTTAAAAAAACAGACCTCATAGGAAGTTGTGACCCTTATGTAGTATTTAACATAGACTTATACCCTGATAAAAAATATAAAAGCGAACCATTTAAAAAGAACTAAAACCCAGACTTTAATTTCTTACAACAAATTCCTATAGAAATCCAATAAAAAAAATCTCGTTAACTTTCCTTATAAATAAAATATTATGACGATGATTTAGTTGGAAAAAGTGTACTTGGAGGTACAACAATTCACCTTTCTGAATTATTTGAAAACCAATCTTTATGGTTCAGTTAGTATTATTAACTTTTAGATGATAAAGGAAATCAAACTACCTAATACTCATTCATTTAAATAAACTGGAGGCCAGAAAACTCCAAAGATACTCCAGATGCTCCCCCTGTTGAAGATTTTTAAGAATTCCTCAAAAAAATAGAACCCCCCAAAACATAATACCAAATATTCATTAATTTAATCGGAGCAAGGAAATTAAAATCTTCCTGGACTGATATTCCTGACCCTTTTGCCGAAATAAAACTTTCTAAAGCTACTAAAACGATCTTAACGACAAAAACTATTGAAAATAACACTTTCCCTATATGGAATTTTTGTGATAAATTCACTATTTAAATAAATGAAAAAGAGCTCGAAATTTTAAAAATGTATATTACAGTTATTGATTACAACTATATAAAAAACGATAAAATAGGTTCTGTAGAAATTGCTTTAAAACCCTTATTTTAAACTAAAAATTGGTTCAATCAGATACTGCCAATTTTAGACGAAAACTCCTTCCCAGGAGCCGGAGAGATTAATGTATAAATTCTTTGCAAAAAAGAAGATGAAGATTTAGGTTCATTAGAAACAATTCCTCCTATGAATTTATTCGAAAACTAAAAAAACGAAGAGGAAAAAAAACTATAAGAATTAAAAGAAAAAGAAAATATTAAAAATAAAGAACCTACTATTAAAGGAGAATTATTTTTTAATATTATTGAAAGTAGAAATTTACTCAATTTAGATACTTTTGATTTAAGTGATCCCTTTGTGGAAGTCACTTTTAATTTTTCTAAATAAACTTTCAAAACTCCTACTATAAATAATAATTTAAATCCCTAATGGAATTTTACATATAAATAACTAATAGAAATCAGGCAATCTGAAATGCAAAAAACTACGTATTTATAAATATATATAATAATTATTTTTTATCTTTTTTAAATATATATTAAAGTATTTTATTCAATATATATGATTATGATTATAATGCAAACGATTTACTTGGATATGTAGAAATAGAAGCTGATAATCTATTCAAAAATCCAGGTACTTGGAGTAATGAAATACATTAAGTGAGTGATGCGAAAGGTACAAGAGGAAAGAACGGACTTTTTTATCCTTAAATATAATGGAGACCCGAAGGTTACAAAATAGATGAAAATTTACCTATAAAACATGATATTAGTTAATTTTATAAAGGAGTAACACCTAAAGGAACAGTCATTATAGGTGTTGTTAGTGCGAAACGAAGTTATATTAGGAGTAGAAGATAAAGGCAAATATTCAGATGCTTAGTTAATAATTTAATTTGCTGGATAAAAAACATAAGAACTTCAAAAATATAATCTTTAAACCCTGAATGGAAATAAATAATATAATTTAAGGTTAATTTTAAAGATAGATCTGTATTTATTTTTTTAAAGAATTTTTTTTTTATTTTTTTTTTTTATAAAAAAATAAGGAAATGCCTTTCCTTTATTGCTCTTTAGTTGATTGGAATTTCATTGGAGATACCTTTTTGGGAGATTTCGAATGCGATATTTCTTAAATTTTAGAAAGTCCAAATTAATGGGGAATTTAGAAAGAATATGCACTTGTAAATATGAAGAAATAAAAAATAGTGTAAATATAATATATATAATTACTATTTTAAATTATATTATATATTTTTTTTATTATTTGTTTTAGTAATGAACCTACAGGCACTGTTTTATTAAAAATCGGGTTTGTGGAAGAAGGAAAAGATGTCAATTAATTGAAAATTTGAATTTTTTATTTTTTTTTAAAAAAAATATAAATGTCATTATTTTTTTTTATTTTTTTATAAAATTTCAATATAACTGAAAAATTTATATTATTAAATATTTATATAATTTTTTTTTATATCTTTTGAATTTGCCTCCAAAAAATTATATAAAAATTTTTATATTTATTTGAAAAAAAAATGGAATTATAATAAATACTAAATAATTTTGATTCTAAACATTAAAATAATAATAAAATTATAAAATTAGGTCCTCATTATGATGATGTTTACTAAAGTTTATATCTTTCTTCTCATTCTTCAACAAGAAACAACATAATAATATATGGATTAGAAGGAATGGGTCGTAAATCGGCAATAAAATATGCGATTTAATAGCTTTTTGAACGTGAAAAATTGCGATTAATTCCAATATAAATTAATGCAGGAATACATAAAACCGAAAGAGAATTTGCCCTTGAGTTTGTTAAACAATTAAATTAAAAATGTTCTATAATAAATAAAATAGAAGCAAAAAACCTTTTTAACAAAATATTTAACTTTAAAAATATAGAAGAATATTTAGAAGTATTATTTAATTTTTTATTTTTATTAAAAAATAAAAAATAAAATAGAAAGAATAAGGATAATGGGTTTTAATTGTTGATAAAATTGATGTCTTAGCTTAATAATAAAGATAATCAGTATTATACTCACTTTTAGATTGGCTTTAAAATAATAAAAATTAATTAACTTTAGTAGGAATAACATCAGATACAGAATTTTAGGAAAAGCTTGAAAAAAGAGTAAAAAGTAGATTTTAGCCAGAGTACATTATTTTATATTTTTTTTATTATTAATTAATTTTTTAAAAAGTGCATTTAATTGCTTCTTTTATGATGTATAAGCATGCATTGAAATTATATAATAAAGATTTAATAATATTTATAATTTATTTCCTGAAAATGAAACGACATTAGAATTGGTAATATAAATATATGTACATATATAACTTTTTAGCATTTTTTTTAAAAAGTCTTTATTTTAAAAAACTAAATTAAAAATAAAATTAAATAATCATATTTATTATAGCATTTTTATTTATTAAATTATGTAATTGAAAGAATATTAAAGATATAAATAAAAACATATTTAAAATTTATTTATTTAATATTTATATATATATATATATATATATATATATTATATATATATATATATATATATATACAATTGAATGATTTAATTAATTAATGAATTTTTATATTTAATTCATTTAAAATTTAATATTTATAAAGAAAGATATTTTTCTTGATGAAAAAATATAAGAATATTTTAAATAAAACTTTCAATTATAAATGAAGTCAATTAAATACATACTTTCATTTTTAAAAACATCACTATCTTTAATGAATTATGAAGGTAAATATTTTATATTTTATTACATAAATCTATTATTTATTATATTTATTTTATATATTAAAAAAATACTATTTAAGATTTCTAAATGAATCAAGAAATTCAAAATTTAGATTTATATATACTTGAGTTGTTTGAAAAGGCTGAAATTTATCATTAAAAAAGTCGAGAAATGGTTCATGCTATAAGTATATTTTACAAATAATTTTATAAAAATAAAAATAATAAAAAGATTGTACTTAGCCTGAATTATATGTTTTAATTTGTATTTAAAAGTTAATTTAAGACAATAGACATCCTATTAATACAATAACTGTATTAAATGAAATTCGTAATTTTAGAAAGAATTATTATTCAATACATTAATAAGGATCTTCTTTAAATTTTTCTAATTTAATTTTGGAAAATGCTATTGAAAATTTAGCTAGTTTATAAGTTATAAAATATTATAATAATATCAAAGAAAAAAACTCAATCCTTATAATTAATATTAACTTAAAAGAATTTAAATAACATTTATAAAATAATGAAACAAAATTAAACGAAGAAATAACTAAATTTGCTGATTTCAATTGAAAATTAATTAATAGTATAAAAAATTATATATATATATATATATATATAAAGACGGATTATTATTATTTTTGTATTTTATTTTATATCAGGATATTTGTAATTATATTTTATGTTATTTGTTATATATTATATTCCTTTTCATTTTTTTATGTTTTTATTAAAAATAATATATAGTAATTAATTAATTGGATAAATGTTTTATTGGATTTAATTAGAGATTAATTAATATAATTAAATTATAAAATTCATGTTTTAATATTATTTATTTGTTAAAATAAAATGTTTTTAATTTTTAAAATTAATATTTATGATAATGAAAATAATAAAAAAATAATTATTTAATATAAATTTAGTTTATAAAATAAAATTTAATATTAATTTTATATATTTTGGATAAAGTATATATTAATTTTGTTATTGTTATCTAAACGTTATAATTATATTGATTTCAAACCGCATTATTTAGTTATACTAATTTTTTGGATTCCTTTTTTCAAAAGAAACAATACATAATGCTTTGATGTAATTTAAATTTATATATTCAATTTAATTTCATTTTTATGATTTATATAAAAATATTTGATTTATTTAATATTTAATTTTGGTTTTAATTAATTTGTTTTAATTTATAAATATATATTTTGATTTTCATATGCATTCAATCTGTTTATATCCAATTATAATTCTTTTATTAAAATTCTAGTTTTTAATTAAATAAGATATAAAAAAATTATGACAATATAAAATAAATAAATAAGTATATTATTTATTAAAATAAATTAAACATTTAAATAAATAAATTAAATTATTTAAATAAATAAAAATTTATTTAAATATTAATATTAAAGCTAAATTCAAATGTTTTTTATTTTTATTATAATTTTAAAAGATTTAAGATTAATTATATAGAATATTAAACATTCTTTTTTCAAAAATAATAATAATCATAATAAAAAGATTATAATTATATTAAACATCAACAATTAAAAAAAATATTTGCTAACATTAAATTCAATTAATATAAACTATTATTTAAAAAAAATCAATTTTTATATATTAAAAATTAATAAATAAAAAATCGTAAATTAAAGTATATAAAATGAGTAATTAGTATTCATAATTATTTAAGCCAGTAACAGTCCATATAGAAAAAATAGCCAAAAAGCGAATTTATCAGTAAATCCTTCTGAAGAATATTAATTAGAAAGTGAAAATAAAAATTATGAAAGTGAATTTTAAATAGATTTAAATAATTAATAAGAATAAAAAATACATTAATGGCTTGATAATGAAGGATTAATTATGATTTGTCCTTCACTTTAGCATTAACAATTTTATGAATAAAAAAGAAAATAAGTTTGTTGTAAAAAAGCATCTCCTAGTTTAAAAATATAAAAATCTCCTATGTTATAAAGGAGAAAGCTAATAACTAATGAAAGTTAATAAATAAATAATAAAGTCTAGCTTGTATAAAAAAATAATAACATAGATGAGGCATAAAAAGCATTAAATTTATTAAAATTATATAATATGACTAAATGATATTTAAATATTTTTTTAAAAATATAAATATTAATATACATTATATTATATGAATCTTATTTATTATATATATATATATATATATATATATATATATTATATATATATATATATTATTTATTTATTTATTCTAAATTTTATAAATATTTTTTATTTATAATTTAATTTAATAGAATTTTTCTTAGTTTATCATTATTATAATTTATTAAATATAAATACTTATTTATTTATCTTAAATATTATTTTATTATTTATTTTAATTAAAATTAATTTAATATCAATTTTATTTTATTTTTTAAAGAAAATTGAATAATTTATATACTATATTTAGAATTTTATATTAATTTAGGAATCAATAATTTTAACTTTTTAAATTATTTATTTTTTATTTTTAAATAATTTAATAATATATAATATTATTTTTTATATAAAATTTAAATTATCAAGGAATTTAATTAATAAAAAATAAGAAATTAAACAAAAAAAAAATTATTAAATAATATTAATTAAAAAATTATTTATTTTTTAAAAAATACATAAAAAGATGATAACAAATAATTAAGATTATGAAAAGTAAGAAAATGTATTAGACGGAGAAGATAAAAAAAAGGAATAGATCAAAATTAATCGCCTAAATAAATAAAAAATACTTTCTTGACCGAACAATAAAATAAGCAAGAATAGCAAAAATAAATATGGAAACCTTTTGATTTTGTATTCCCAGCAGGTCATCTATCTAAACTTGTAAAAATATAAGATATAAACGTTAAAAATTTTCCTTTTACAGATATATTAAATAAATTGAAATTAACAGAAGGTTATCCAATAATAAATTTAATATCAGCATAAAAAAGTAAAAGAGATAAATTCTATGCAGGAATAGCAAGAGCATGTTTCAACAGTGATGCAATAATAATAGATTCATCTTTATAAACAGGTTTAGAATTATATCAAGAAAGAAAAGGTAAAAAAATAAATAAAAATAATAAATATATATATATATATATATATATATATATATATATATATATTATATATATATTTATTTTTTATCTTATTATTTAATTTTTTTTTATATAAATATTTAGGACTTACTATTATTGGTGTTGCTCCAGAAAACCAAATAAAATATCCAAAAATTAATCCGTCATATATAGATCCGTATGAAATTTCAAATGGGCATACTCATTTATTTCTTTTAAACGATAAAGATAAAAATATGCAATGGACTTAGGAGTCTGTTTTTAAAATGCAATTAGCCTTAAAATTGGCAGAAGGAAAAATTTCTAAAAAAGTTGGTAAACCAAGATGTAAAATTGTTAATGTATTTTTAGGAGATAATCCTTATTATCTTGATGAAATCAGACTTGCAGTTAAATTTGATTTACCAATTATTGTTGTTAAAGGAAGTGACATTTGTGATGAAATAATCGCTAATTATAATAAAGAAGAAAAATAATATAAATTTGTTAATCTAGGTTTTTTTATATTTTCATATTATTATATTTATGTTTATATTCTCTTTTATTAAAATTATTTTTAGAATTTGAAGAATTACTTAATAAGGGGCATTTTTATATGCTTGATAGCATAGATTCTGAAGATATTGCTTAATATATACACTTTTTATTAACATTTACACCTTATTGAAAAAAAATTAAATAAAGATATATATAAATATTAAATTTTTTCTTTTCCAAAAAAAATAAAAAAATATCAATATAAATTATTTTGATAATAAAAAAATGTTAAAAATAAATTATACTATTAAAAAATTCACATATATAACCCTATTAACCCAAGCCAAAAAATACAAATAATTAAAATCCGAAAACTACAATAGCACATTAAGATACGTTTAATTAAAAATTGAACTAGTTTCTTTTTTCTATTCTGTAGTGTCTAAGAAAAAATGCCATCCGAACTAATCTACATTTATATAATAATCTGTTTTCCCGGTTTCTTTGGTCGTTCATCGTAAATCTTCAATTATTATTCTCTTACCCTACCCATATTAATATGATAAAAAGCATCAAATAAATAATAAAATTGCAAATGATGGAAATACAAATACAAATGGAATATCTTATTTTGGAACTACTCATATGAACCAGAATGCTATTTTCTCATTCATATAATTAGATAAACATTTTTAATTTACCCTTTATTAACTTAGCTGTTTTTTTTCGAATTAGGAATAAAAAAAATAGGATTCTCCTGTTTTTTTTTTTTCAAAAACAAATATTTCGGGGTTAAATGCGCAGCATTAGTTTTCCTCTATAACCTAAAAAGAGGGAACTAATATTACCTAAAAAATATCACTTTTTAAATATGGATAATTTATTTCAAAAATTGCGTTTAAAAAATGCAAGAATTCACCCTTAAATAAAATTTGTGAGTATTTAAATTTAAAATCCGCCTTTTCCATATTTACTGTAATACCAAAAATACATATGAAATAAAAAATTATTTAAAATGGATAAATAATTTTTTATTTATTATTTAAAAAACTTTAAATATTTATAATATAAATAATTTTCTTATCTAAAGAAACATTTCAGGTCTCAAAAAAATATATAGACATATTATAAATTAAATAAAGATTACGATGTTTTGTATAGGTAATTATGTAAATTAAAGAATACAGCATGAAATTTACAAATAATTTAAAACTACAAATTAAATAGTTGAACATTTACTTTAATAAGATCTTAATATCGAATTAGTTTGCGGGAAATAGGAACTTTAGACAAACCATATCGATATAGAGGATTTAATAGCCAAACTAGATTTGAGTGATTAAACAAATATGTCATTTGTTTATAAAAGTATTTTAAAAATTTATGAATATTCTTTTTAATAAATCAGGACATTTTCTGAGTATTGACTAACCAGAATATGCTTATGATTAATATTATTGAATTGAACTTTTTTAGGAATAATTTTGTTCCCACAACTATATATAAAAAGAAGTAAAAACTAGAGAAAGAGTGAAAAAAGAAGAAGTTGGAAGAAGAGAAAAAAAGAAGAAAATAGAGGAAGAGTAGAAAAAAAGAAGAAATGGAGAGTAACAAAAAAAAAAGAAATATATTAAAAAAATAAGAATAATTAATAAAATTATAAGAATTAACTAAAACATATATATATATAAAAAAATTTATATAAATATATTTTTTTTTTTTCAAAAAACACGTGAATATTCCATTTTAAAATCTTTTACAGGAACAACATCAGCATCCTCGTCTTCTTTATAAATTTTTATAGTTTTATCACATTCTGCAGTAATAAGTCTCATCTAAGATTAATCAAATTTCATATCAAAAATGGCGTTTTCAGCCGCTATAGATCCTGGTTAAGGTTTTTATTTTATAGTCTAGAAATTATGTCCACTTTTCCAATCATAAAAATTCAAAGTGCCTTTTTAAAAAAAATAAAAAATAAAAAATAAAAAAAGTACCATCATCTGCTCCACTAACAAGTATATTATCTTAATTTAAAGCCAAAGTATTAACAATATTGTTACTAGTTCCACTCGATATGTTTCTCAAAAATTCTCCTTCTGGACATTTCCAAACTTTAACATTATCCGCTGCGCCTGACGCAAAAGTGTATTCTTTGTGATGAAAAATAACTGACCTAACTGCTTTTTTATGATTAGTTAAAGTTTTCATACATTTCCCAGCCACAATATCCCATAATTTAACTGTCGTATCATAACTTCCTGAAACAATCTACGGTTCGAATTCTTAACAAACCACATTATCTACAGTATGTTAGTGCCCCCCTAAGACATGAATTTGTGATCTCATTCTTATATCCCATAGTCTAACAGTACAATCTCTACCTCCAGTCGCTATAATATTATGAATGGGATGAATCGCAATACAATAAACTCCACTAAGATGTCCGTGATAATTTCTTACTACTTAATTAAGTTCTAAGTCCCAACATCTAACTGTCTTATCTTCAGCTACTGAAAACAAATATGGATGTCTATCTGATACTACTAATCCTCTAACACTAGATGTATGTCCTGTTAAAGTAATTTTCAATTATCCAGAAGCTAAATCCCAGAATTTAATAGTTCTGTCATTTGAACCTGTTACGAAAAATTAATTCGCAGGGTCTACTGCTACAGTTCTTATCCAACCCCTATGTCCAGCGATTACACGCATTAATTTCCAAGGCTTATGTTCATCTGGTTTTATTACTTTTGTTATATTTCTGGTTATTACAGAACCTAATTATGTAGTGTTTAACAATTAAAGTTGGTTATTTCCTTCTTGCTTTTATTAAACTGATAATTATAAATTGTTTGTGTTTTCAGCTTGGTATTATTCTTATTTTTTTTAATATTTTAAAAAATGCTTTGGGATTTTTGATAATTTATCGTCGTCAGATTCTTAGTAATTAGGTAGTTCTTTGATTAATATTTCTAATAATGTGGTGGGTTTTTATTCCTCTTTTTAGGGAGGTTCGGATTATTTCTATTGTTGGTCTGTTATTAAAATTTGTTAATCATTCAAAGATTAAGCTATTTCGCTGGCTTATGTTTTTTATTTTTATTGGGCAAATTTGTATTCATCATTTATTTTGGAAGATAATTTTAATTTAGTAGAATCGAGAAATTCAGGGACTTTTAACATTTGGTTTGATTTGAAAATTTTTTTGGTATTATAAACTGCATCTAACATAAAATCATCTATTGATTAATTTAACTATTCCATATTTACTATTAAGTTTTTTTTTTAGGATATATTTTTTTTTTACAATTTATAATATATTCTATACTTATTTTTTTAATAGACAATAAATAATAAAAAAAAATAAAAAAAAAAATACTTTTTTATATTATTATTATTAAAAAATGCATAAATATTATTTATAAAAATAAATAAACAATTTAAAAAATAATCTATCAAGAAGTCTTGTTTTCGATTTAATTTGGCAAATTATTCTTTTTTATTGTATAGAAAAAGTTATTTTTATACACAAACCTTAATATGAATTACCCAAAGAAATAAAATACCAAAAACAATGGACAATATTATATCCAAGAAAATCTAATAAGTGCCAAAAAAGAAGGTCTATACATAACTTCATTCTAATTATCAGACTAAAGTAATATTTTTATTTTAGTTTATTTGACATCAATAATATCGATAGGATCTTGGCCTATAACAATTTTATTATATTAAGGTAATATTTTATATTATCTATTTGAATATTTTTAAATAGTCTATTAAATATCATATTGATTTTCTTCTAAAGGATTTTTATTATCGATTTCCTTTTTTTAATGTTTATATTTGGGGATTGGACTACTATAATAAAATATAGGCCTTCCATAAAATACAACATCTTTAATTCCAGATTAACTTTCGCAATCAAATTATAGCATTCCTTTAGTTTTAACTTTAGTGAATTTCTTTTTTTTTATTAAAAAATAAAATATATATCTAATTTTTTTGTTAAAATAACATTTAATTCAACATCAAATATTAAAAAAATAGAAATATTTGTTGTTTTAAATTAAGATTTAAAAGAAATATCAAAATCAAATTAATCTATAATTCCGTCATCATTATAATCTTAAAAAAAATTCTATTATTTATATTTTTTTATAATTTGTTTTATATTTTTTTTTATTACTTATAATTCTGCAAAATTAGGAAATTAAGGAAAATTTGGTTTACTAATTTATTCATTATAATGGTACATATTATAAATCATTTAAACATGTTCACTATTATTTATATCTTTGCTTTTTATATAAACTAAGTATTCATTTGTGAATTTTATATCTAATTATTCATAACCAATTTAATATGTAAGCCAAAAATCTATTTTTCAATAATTTTTTTTTTAATATATATAACTATGTTTTTTACTTGCAGTTGAACTAACTAATATAAAAGGTATTGTAAAAATTAAAATATAAGTACACATACAAAATAAAGAAGCAGGTTGTAAAAAATGTGCTGAATAAGTTTTATAAAAAGGATGCGAATATAAAGGATTAGCCATTAAAAATAAAAAATAAAAGGAAATTATAATTATAATTAAAGTAATTTAATTTTTATAAAATAGTATATTTTTATTTTGTTTTTTAAAAATATATATTTAAATAAATTTGTTAATTTACTTATATAAAAAATAAATAAATAAAAGCAATTTAAATATTTCAATAATGAATATTATGATTGCATTTAATATAATTAGGCTTATCTTTAGCATCCCAATCTTCAATTTAAATAGTGGAATGATAAATACCATGTTATCTACAAATTTTAGTCGTATTTTTAAGAACTTCATCCTTATCTCCATTAACAAATATATGAGCACTCATAGCAGGTTTTCCAATACTTAAAGACCATATATGTAAATCATGAATTTCTACTACATTTTCAACTTTTAATAAGGAATCTTTGAATTCTTTTATTTCTATATCTTATGGAGTTCCTTCCATTAAAACTCTAATACAATCCCTAACTATATGTACAGTAGTAAAAAGTACTAAAATAGAAAACAAATAAGTACAAATAGGATCTGCTAAATGCCAATAATTATATTCTTTTGTATCAGCATAGAAGAATATTAATAAAGCAGCAATAACTACACCTATAGATTATAAAATATCGCCTTTATTTTAAAAATAAATTTTAAAAATTATTATTTATTTATTTTTATAAAAAAATACCTATAACATGAATCATAGCAGCACGTAAATTATAATTTTCATGTTCTTCAATTTTTGAAAGATTTTTTTTCTTTGAAAAATAAGTAAAAAATATTTATATAATATATATATATATATATATATATATATATATATATATATATATATATATATATTTTCTTCTTTTATTCTTAATCCCTAATCTCAATAGTATGTGAATGTTCACATCCTTCACCATGACTATGTTCATGTTAATGATCATGATCGTGATCGTGGTCATTATCGTGATCATGATCGTGATCGTGGTCATGGTCGTGATCGTGATTGTTGTCGTGATTGTGGTCATGATCGTGGTCATGATCATGGTCATTGTCGTGGTCATGATCATGATCATCGTGTTTATGTTTATTTCCAGCATTTTTTTTTTTATTTTTTTTAGTATGAGAGTGTTTATGTGCCCCGTGTGAATGGCCATGATCATGTCCATGTCCATGATCATGTCCATGATCATGATCATGACTATGTCCATGATGTGAATGTCCAGGAGCACTATGTAATACTTTAGCCATACCAATATTACATACTAAACCAAAGACAGCAGTAATAAGCATAAAAAGAGGATCATTGACCATTTATTTATTAATAATCCTATCTGTAGCTTCATATAATAAAACAATAGTAAGTCCCCAAATCAAAACAATGCTTCCTAATGCACCAATAACTTCAGCTCTATGATATCCATAAGAAAGTCCTTTAGAAGCTGTTTAGTACCTACCCAAATAGAAAAATGGAAATAAAAAATCCACTCAATCTGAAAACATATGTGCTGCATCTGACAATATTGCTAATGAGCCACTAACATACCTCTACTACTTCAGCAATCAAAAAATTAATGCTATAATTGCTGCTACAAATAATTTACATAAAACTCCTCTTGTTACTTGTGAGACATCAGGTAAATCATAAATTGCAGATTCTCTTATTATTTAAACATCCGAATCTCCACTTGAATAAGAATCTTCACCTTTTTCTTCCTCTTCTTCATGGTGGTGAGATACGGAAGTTTTTTATGTATTTATGGTTTGAAATTGGATTTGGTTTTTCTTTTTAGCCTTAATTTCACTACTTTTGGTATTAGTTTCTTCATCAGAGTATTTTTAGAAGTTTGGCACTTCTTCAAGTAATTTTTTTTGCAAGCTTTATTTTTATGATGTACTCATATTTTTTTTTTAATTTTTTTTTTAATTTGACTTTTTTTTATTGAAATATTTTTATTTTTTTCTTTACAGTAAATATATAATATTTATTTATTTTTGTATTGCAACAAAAATTTATGTTTTCTTTGTTGTATTTTTTTTAAGTGATTCTTTAATAATATATATTAAATATTTAAAATTAAAAACATTATTATAAATAATTTTAATTATTAATAATTAATATTAAATTAATTATTATTATCATATTATATATTAAAATATTATAATATTTAATATATTTTTTTAATAATTATAAATTCTAAAAAAATTACTTAAAAAAAAAGCTATATATTTTAAGAATATAAAAAAAAATCACGGTTTTTCTCCATTTTTAATTCTTTTATTAATATCTTGTACAATATGAGGTAAATCATTAATGTCCTAAGCAACATAATGAGCTCCACTACTTTCCAAAATATCCCTTGACCTATTAATTTTTTCCTAAATCTATTCTTCACTAAAACCATTCCATTATTCCATACTATCAACATCTGTATAATTTGAATATTTATAAATTCCTACAGTCCAAACACCTGCATTTAATCCTTCATGAACTCCTCCCACAGTATCATCGACTTTTAAAACTAACCTTCTATCATAAAGCCCGAATTTCATCATATTTTAAAAAACCATAAAAGGAGCAGGTCTAAATCCCATTTCAAAATGAATATCGTCTCCAGCTACTGCAAAGTCAGGATTATATCCTTGTTTTTCTGCTTCTTGAAGAATAATATCAGTATGTTCTTTAGTAAATCCGGTTGTAGACCCTATTTTAATACCATATTATTACTAAAGAGTTTAAACAATTTCAGCTGTTCCAGGAATTAAACTACAATATTCTCTTATACAGTCAGTTTATGCTTTAATAAAATACTCTTTAAATATTTCCTCACCGTCATGTTTATTAGGATTTCTCCCTTTTACTTTTTTCCATTTCTCAATTATAGAAGGAATTTATAACATTTTTTATATGTGTAAATCTTTTCTTAAACCCATAGGTATTCTAGCTTCTTACATAGTAACTTCTATTCCTATTTATTTAAAAGATTAAACGAATGCAAAGGCAGGAGCTATTACATGAGGGTCACATATAGTTCCGGAAAAGTCTAATATTATTGCTTTTAAAGAATCTCCTTGTTTACATATAAAAGGTGTAGGATGTTTATTTTTATAGATTGTTTTAGAAAGCATTGTAAAATTTTTTAGCATTTTACGATATTTTAAATTTTTTTTTTTTTTTTTATTATTATTATTATTATTATTTTTATTATTATTATTATATTATATTATATTATATTATATTATATTATATTATATTATATTATATTATATTATATTATATTATATTATAGTATATATTTTTTTTTATTTCTTTTATTTATATTTACTTTTAATAATAATGTTATTGATAAAATTTTTAGATGAAATATAATGTAAAAAATACTATTAAAATATCATTTAGTTTTTAATAAAATTAAAAACATATTTATATTAATATTTTTAAAATAGTTTATTTTAAAAAATAAAATTGGAAATATAATATTATTTTTTAAATTATCTTTATATTTTTATATGCCATTAAATTTTATTATTATTATAAATATTAAAATATTTTTCAATAATTTTTAATATTTATTATTAATTAATTTAATATAAGATTAAAATTTTTATATATGCATACATTCAATGTATTTTCTTTAAATAAACTTATTAATTTTTCAAATAATATTCATTAAATTCAATTTAATATTAAAAAAATAAATATGAATACCTTATTAACTATATAATTTAATTATTTTATAAAAAAAAATATATATATATTTCAAATAATATTTATATTTTACTAGATTTTTATAATATTATTTAAAAATGTTAAAAAGAATTAAATGCGATTTATTTATTCATATAATAAAAAATTGCAAATTATTTATGAGTACATTTTATTTTTCCATTTTAATTTATTAAATAATAAATTTTTATTATTTAATTCATAAATTTTATTTTAATAAAGATATAATCTATTTTTTCTTCAATATTTCTTAAATTCTATTATTTTTTGCTATAAATAAACAATATATTTAAATAAATTATAAAAATATTATATTAAAAAAAACGCAATATATTTAATTTAAATCAAGAATAAAATATTAATATAAGTTTTTAAAAATAAATAAAAAATTCAATTTAAAAAATTATAAGTAAATATTTTTTTTTTTATTATTAAAGAAATATATTACTATTAATTATCTTTTCTATTAAATTTAATTAATAATAATTTTTTATAAAAAATTATTTCAAAATAATTAAATTTGCGCTCATTTTTTATTTTGTTTTAAAAAAAATTATAAAATTAAAATTACACTTTATTAAAACAAATAATTAAAAAAAAAAAAATGTACATAAAAGAAATAATAATAGACGGTTTTAAAAGTTATGCCACAAGAACAATAATAAAAGGTTTTGATATATCTTTTAATGCAATTACAGGTTTTAATGGTTCTGGAAAATCAAATATTTTAGACGCTATTTTGTTTGTTCTTGGTTTAAATAAAGAATGGGAAGTATTAAGAGTGAAAAAGATGTAAGAATTAGTATACAAATAAGGTCATGCAGGAATTACTAAAGCTGAAGTAACAGTAACATTTGATAATACTAATAAGGAATAATCGCCTTTAGGTTATGAAAATTGTGATTAAATATAAGTTACAAGACAGGTAATTAATACATTATAATTTATATAATAAATATTATTTTTTATTTAAAAAATAAAAAGGTTTAATAAGAAAAAAGTAAATATTTTGTAAATGGAACTAAAGAAAATTTAAACAAAGTAAAAAACATGTTCCGAAGTGTTTAATTAAATATTGACAATCCTCATTTTTTAGTTGCTTAAGGAAGAATTACTAAAATTATTAATTTAAAGCCTTTAGAATTAATATCAATGTTAGAAGAAACTGCTGGTATTAAAAAAATAAATAAAATATAAAAAAATATATAAAATATATAGGTACTGCTTTATATAATGAAAAGAAAAGAGAAAGTGAGAAAATAATAAAAAAAAAGGAAGAAAAAGTTAAAGAAATAAATGATTTAATAGAAACTGATATTCAACCTAAAATGAAAAAACTCAAAAAAGAACGAGAAGAATATTTAATATGGAAAAGTAGTGAAATAGAAATAAACCGTATGGAAAGACAATTAAAAGCCTATGAATATTTTAACAAAAACCAACTCTTAAAAGACCGTTAAATTGAATTAGAAGATCATAAAAAATTGCAATTAAATACTTAAAAAGAACTCAAAAACTCCACTTAAGAATATCAAGTTTGTTTAGATGAACTTAAAAAATATGGAAGATAATAAGATCAAGAAGGGGATAAAAAATTAAAAAAACTAGAAGAAAAATGCAAAGAATTAGAAGAAAAGATTTCAGAATGTGAAAAACAACGAGAAATAACAAAAAAACACTAACAATAATCTATTTAAGACTTAAAAATATTCCAAAAAAAGCAAAAAGATTGTGAGGATACTATTTAAAAAAATTAAAAAGAGCTCGAATATTAAACTAAATATTTGACTGAAATAACAAATGAAATTCAATAAAAAAAAGATCAGTTAAATGAGGCTAACTAAATGCAAAATCAAGACGGATCCAATTTAGAAGGTGTTAAGGAATAATTAGATTAATAAATTAAAATAGAAAGTAATAAACTTAAAAGTATTCAAAATGAAATAGCTAAGTTAGATGCTTAGATTAAATAAAAATAAATAACACTCAAAAATAATAAAGAAACTCTTGAATTTACACTAAATGAATAAAATTAATTAAATAAATAAATTGAAATATTAGAAAGAGAAATAAAACATGTAGAAGATGAAATCGATAGTAATTAAATATATATATATATATATATATATATATATATATATATATTTAGATACATATTTATTTTATTATACTTTTTATTTTTTTTACAGAAAGTACTTTTAATCCTAATGTATTAAGAGCAAGAGAATAAGAAAGAAATAATTATGATTAATAAATTATGCATTTATAACATAAAATAGAAGCAATTATTTAAAATTAAGGAAATTATATTTTCAAATTAGATGTAAAAATTCTATAAAAATATATATTTTTTTAAAAACATATATATAATTTTAGTATAGAGATCCTGAACCAGGATTTGATAAATCTAGAATAAAGGGAAGAGTTTTTAGTTTATTTTAGCCAAAATCATCTGAATATATTGAAGCATTAGAAGCCGGAGCAGGTTAAAAAAATAAAAAATTTAATATATATTTAACAAAAAATAAATAGGTGGAAAGCTTCAATTTATAATTGTGCAAGATGAATAGACATCCAAAATATTGTTATAAAAAAGAAGTTTTAACTTTAACGTAAGATTTATACCCAACAATAAGATAGTAGGTGAATTTATAGATAGATAAATAATCGAAGAATCTTAAAAAATCGCCAAAGAAATGGGCGGTTGGGCCGAACCAGCTTATAACTTGATTAAATATGATGAATCTATGTAAAAAAGTATGCTTTTTGTATTCGGTAATTTCATGGTATGTTCTAATTAAGCGATTGCTAAAGCAATTTGTTTCAACAAAAACGTCAGATTGAGAATAAAATGCGTATCTTTAGAAGGAGATATATTAGACCCTTCAGGTACTTTATCAGGAGGTTACTAAGATAGGGGAAATTTATTATTGGAGAGGTATTATAAATACTCTAAAGTTGTAGATGAGAAGAATGAATTGGTAGCTTAGAGAGGAAATTTAATGGAAAATATAAAGAAATTAAAAGAATAAGAAAGTTATTATAATGGATTAAGTGAAAGTCTTTAAAATAAAAAATATAAATATGAAAAATTAACTGCTTAATAAAATAATATGAGTGGAAAGGAATTTATTAATAATTAAGAAAAATTAGAAAATTAAATATAGGAAGAATTTAATGTTTTATAAAGAAATAAAGACGCGAAAAAAAAGTAGAAAATATAATAGAAGAATTATAATAAGAAAAAAATAATCTCTCAAAAGTCAAAGACTATAAAGAGGTCTGGAAAAATAAAATTAAAAAAATAAAATAAGAAATTTAAGACAAAAATAAAGAATAATAATAAGTCAATAGAATTATTGCAGATATGTAAGTCAGTATTGATAGTAATAGTAAAGAAATTAAAAAATGCAATGAAAAAATATAAACTGAAAATGAGGTTGTTAATAAAAGAAAAAATAATTAGAATAATTAGATTAATAATTATACAGTTAAAGTGAAGAATTCAAAAAACTAATTGTAAATATAAATAAAAATAATTTAAAATATTAAAAAATAAGGATGAAAGAGTTAAATTAGAGTATTAAATTTCTTAAGTAAAAGGATAATTAGAAGAAATTAAAAATAAATTAGAAGAATGCAAAATTAAAAAAGAAAATAGTGAAAAAGAAATAAAAAAACTAGATGAATATGTAAAAAAATTATCGAATGAAGTATCTGAAATAAAATAAAATTTACAAACTTTAGAAATTGAAAATTAAGTAATTACAAAAAAAATTATAATTAAAATAAATAATATAAGTATAAAAATATATATAAATGTATATAAAATATATATGTATATAATATATAAATATATAATATATATATAAATATAAATATATATTTTTATTTATTTATTTATTTATATATATTTATATTTATTTTATTTTCCTTTTTTTATTTTTTAAATATATAAAATAAAGTTTATTAAAACAGATAAAAATATATTCGGTGAAATTAATAGTGAATATGATTTTACTAAATTTAATTTAACAGAATTAAAAAAAAAATACCATCATGCATAACATGAATAACAAACAAGATAAAAACAAATAAATTTTAAAGTTGAATCTATGAGTGAAAAAGTAGAAAAAGATTGTCAGTAACTAAACGAGAAAAGAGTTATTTTAGAAAACGATAAAAATCTTCTTTTTAAAAATATGGATGAATTAGATAAAAAGAAAAAAGAAACACTTGAGAAATGCTATCTTTAAGTTAACTAAACATTTGGTTAAATTTTCTCTGATTTATTACCTGGAGCAGCTGCCAGAATCTAACCTTTGGAAGGTTAGGATGTTTCTGAAGGTTTAGAAATAGGGGTTGCATTTAATGGCGTTTGGAAAAACTCCTTAAGTGAACTTTCAGGAGGTTAATTTTTTATATTTGAATTAATATATTTATATTTATAAAAAAAAGGTTAAAGATCACTTATAGCACTTTCATTTGTTTTAGCTTTACTTAAATATAAACCTGCTCCGTTTTATATATTAGACGAAGTCGATTCTGCTTTAGATCTATCACATACAGAAAATAT